CCAGTCTGGGCGACAGAGTGAGACTCCAACTCAAAAAAAAAAAAAAAAGAAATTGACTCATGCATTTATGACAGTCGAATTTGCACCATCTGCCATCCATAAGCTGGAAAACCAGGAGAGCTGGTGGTATAATTCAGTCCAAGACCGAAGGCCTGACAACCAGGGGAGCTGATGGTATAAATCCCAGAGTTCAGAGGTGGGGAGGGGGTTGGAGAGGCAAGTGGCTGCAAGTGTAATTCCTAGAGTAAGAAGACCCAAGAACCAGAAGCTCTGATATCTGAGGGCAAAAGAAGATAGATATCTCAGTTCAAGAGAGTTTGCCCTCCTCTACCATCTCTTTCAGAAACACCCTCACAGATACCCAGAAGTAATGGTTTGCTGGCTATCTGGGCATCCCCTTAGTTCAGTCAAGTTGACACATAAAATTAACCATCACATGTAGACCAGCAGACCTCACTTTATCTGTTACTGGAAGAAATTGGGAATTCAAATAAGTGAAGCACTAAAACTGTCTAGGTAAAGGACTCATTGTCTTATTCCATCAATGTCCGTTATAAACACTAAATTGTTTAGCGGAGAATGAAACCTTTGCTGTGTGACAGATGGATTTGAATTCTTGAGCCACCTGCCAGCTAGTGCTTCTTCCTAGATCTTAATCAAGTCATTTAAACTTCCCATTGTTCTCTTGTATCTTCCTTTGTTTTTCCTTTAAGTCATTTAAACTTCCCATTGTTTTCTTGTATCTTCCTTGTATCTTCCATTGAACCTTCTCCCCTTTGTGTGCAAAAACCTCAAACAAACAAACAAAAAAGAACGCCCCTCCCTTTATTTCTTTTATGATGCTGCAAATTTAGCAGTTATAAAACTTTCAAAGTATAATCAGTTCTCATCTCAGGTCCATTCCCTCAGGTAAACTGGCTCAGTGCCTACTCTTAGAGCTATCTGTGAGGGTCTTCCTGAAAGAGAAGGTAGAGGAAGGGTGAATTCTCTCAAACTGAGAGGTCTATCTTCTCTTGCTCTGAGACATCAGAGCTTCTGGTTCCTGGGTCTTCTTACTGTAGGAATTAAACCTGCAGCCACTTGCCTCCAACCTGCTCCCCACCCAAAACTGTGCTTACCATATAGGAAGTTTCCTCAATACCTCTCAGCTTTTTTTTTTGGTGACATCCTCTAGCTCCTGCCAGTCTGCACTCATCTCTCATCAAACAAACATACACACACAAACATAGTACAGTCTCTTCCTTGTGTCTGTCACCTCCTCCACCCTTTCTGGAAATGTAGGGTAAAATTAAAGGGTAGTTGTGATCTACTTTGTCTTTATTTATTACATTTCTAATAATCTGAAAAATAAATCCTAGTTAGTTGTTGTTTCTTTTTAGTTTGCTGTGGCTGAACCAAGAAAGAAGGCATATGCAGATTTCTACAGAAATTATGATTCCATGAAAGATTTTGAGGAGATGAGGAAGGCTGGTATCTTTCAGAGTGCAAAGTGATTTGGGAATATAAAGGTAATATGGTTATTTGAAATTATTTTTTTAAAAAGTTTTAATTGGGGTAAAAATGCAAATACAGATAATTCCTGACTTATGATATTTAGACCTGTGATTTTCCGACTTTACAATGTTGTGCAAGTGATACACATTCAGTAGAAACCATACTTTGAATTTTCATCTTTGTCTAGACTAGGGATAAGTGACACAATACTTGTGATGTTGGACAGTGACAGCAGGCTGCAGCTCCCAGTCAGACACAATCATGAGGGTAAACAACTGATACCTTACTCTAGAGTGTACTGTATTTATTAAGTTGCATGAGATATTTAGTGTTATATTATGAAATAGAGTTTATGTAGATGATTTTGCCCAACTGTAGACTAATGCAAATGTTCTGAGCACATTTAAGGTGGCCTAGGCTAAGTTAGGTCTTTGTGTAGATGAGGTGTAGTAAGTGCATTTCCAGCCTAACGATATTTTCAGTTTATGATGGGTTTATTGGGATATAACTCTACTGTAAGTCAAGGAGCATCTGTAACAAAATTTACCACTTAACCATTTTTAATTGTATAGTTCAGTAATGGTAAGTACATTCCTTCATTGTGCAACCAATTGCTAGAGCGTTCTTAATCTAGCAAAACTAAAACTCAGTACCCATTAAACAACAGCTCCCCGATCTCCCTTCCACTCAGACCCTGGCAGCTATCCTGTTACTTTCTATGGATTTGACTACTCTAGATACACCTCTTATAAGTTGAATCATATGGTATTTGTCTTCTTGTGACTGACTTGAGCTTAATGACCTCAAGGTTCACTTATGTTACAGCATGTGTCAACATTTCCTTCCTTTTTAAAGCTGAATGACCTATTTAGGTATATATCACATTCTGTTTATCCATTTATCTTCTAGTAGATCTTGGATTGCTTCCATCTTTTGACTGTTGTGAATAATGCTATGAATATAAATGTACAGATATCTCTTCAAGGCCCAGCTTTCAATTTTGGGAATATACTTGAGTAATTGCTGGATCATATAATAATGAAAAAAAAATTTTTTAGAGGAACTACCATGCCATTTTCATAGAAACTGCCATTTTACACCCTCCCACAGTACACAGAGGTTCTGATTTCTCCACATCACCCCAGCACTTGTTACTTTGGGTTTTTTGATAGTAGCCTTAGGTTTGAGGTGGTTGTCACTGTAGTTTCAGTATGAATTTCTCTAAAGATTTGCAGTGTTGAACATCTTTTCAAGTGCTTATTGGCCTTTGTATGTCCCCTTTGGAGAAATGTTTTTTTCAGGTGTGCCATTTTTGAATTGGGTTGTTTTTTGGTTAAGTTGTTGTTCTTTATATATTCTGAATATTAACTCCTTTTTAGATATATGATTTGCAAATACTTCCTACCATTTCATAAGTTGTCTTTTCACTATATTGATCATGTTCTTTGATGCATAAATTTTTAGATTTTGATGTCCAATTTGTTTTTACTTCTGTTGTGTATGCTTTTGGTGTCCTAGTCAATAAGTAATTGCCAAATCCAGTGTCAGGAAGCTTTCCTTATATGTTCTTCTAAGACTTTTATAATATTAGCTCTTATGGTTAGGTCTTTGATTCATTTTAAGTTTTGTGTATGATATAATGTAAAGATCCAACTTCATTCTTTTACATGTGTTCATTCTTTTGCATGTGTTCATTCTTTTGCATCCAGTTTTTCCAAAACCATTTAACAATACATTCGTGATTGGCACATTTTTCACTTTCCTAATATTGACAATGAATGAAAATTTTAAAAAATCTGAAGCTGGCTGCTGCAGACTTCTGTTATTAAGCACAAGTGAGATGGTCTTTTCTAAATTGTCACCTTTTTCACAATATAGCTGAAAGTTACAGACAATCCGGTATTTGCCTCAGACACCACTCTGACTAGTATTTCATATTTTTATTTTTACTCGGATTGTAAACCAAATATATATTTAATATATTTAATATATATATTTCTTCATTTACATTGCATCATTAAATCACTCTCTGTCTCACTATCACTAAAAATTTCACTGGATTCACCATTGTCCTTGGAAATTTCATCAGAATATGTTTCTTCATTTTTCCATAATTATGGTAAATTATTTTTAACGTTGAAATATGAAAGCCCTGAAATATCAAAATACAAGTATACAACGCTGTGAGAAACGAACTCACCTGTCTAAAATCAAGAGATGGATGCAAGAGACATGGAGTACAGCAGAAGCGAGACTTTAATGACGGTCTTGCAAGATTGGGTATTTGGTGGGCAGGCACACCAAAGCAGGAAGAATCAGCACTTTTATCCCTAAAATGCAGGTCCCTCTCCTGGTTCCTCGTAGGAGGAATATTGCAGAAGTTACAGGCTCTCCCGTATGATGCCTGTGTGACATATTTTGATTGGCTTACAGAATCATTTCATTTGTATGCCCTATTTGCTGACTGGCTTACAGAGTTAGCATTCTGATTGGATCCCACCAAAAGTTTAAACATGAAGCCCACCAAAGTAAAAAGCCCACAAAAAGGAAGCACAAAGAAGCAGGAAGTTAATTAACAAAAGAGAAGCATAAAACATTTAGACACCATCTTAAGAACCTAAGATAAACCAGGCTCCAATGAAAGTAAATCACCATTCTCATTTTTCACAAACCCTAATCACAACAAAAAAATGACCAACTTGCAATTTTTACCAGCTACATAAATCAGTAACAACATTGCACAGTTGATATCATAGTGATCTCAATTAACTTTCTCCTTGCCTCTCTATTCATTTTCAAGCAATATAGAATAACACATACATGTGACAGTGTTGCAGCATTTACAAACAGAATTTGCAAAGACAAGATGTAAATTCACATCATTGGCAACCAAGAACAGAATTTGGAATGACGTAAATTCAAGTCAGCAATCGTGAATGAGTTAAGAAGATTGTCTTCTCTCCATTGAACATTCTTGGCACTCTTGGTGAAATGTGACTGCACATAGTGAGGGTTTATTTCTGGGCTCTCTCTTCTATTCCATTGGTCTGTATGTCTGTCTTCATGTCAGTACACATTGTTTTAATTATAGTAGTCTTCCTTTATCCAAGGGATATGTTTCAAGACTCCCAGTAGAGTCCTGAACCTGTGGATAGTACTGAATGCTGTATGTACTGTATTTTTCCTATATATACATACCTGTGATAAAGTCAATTTATAAATTAGGCACAGTAATTTAATAATAACAAAATAGAACTATTATAATATACTGTATGCAGGCTGGGCATGGTGGCTTATACCTGTAATCCCAGCACTGTTGGAGGCTAAGGTGGGAGGACTGCTTGAGCCTGGGAGTTCAAGAACAGCCCCTTGGCATCATGGTAAGACTCCTGTCTTTACAAAAATTAACCGGGCATGATGGTACATGCTTGTTAGGCTAAGGTGGAAGGAGCTGAGCCCAGGAGGCCAAGGCTGTGGTGAGCCATGATTGTGCCATTGCAATCCAGCCTGGGTGACAGATTGAGGCCCTGACTCCAAAAAAAAAAAAGATAATAAAAGTTAGGTGAATGTGGTCTCTCTCTTTCTCTCAAAATATCTTGCTGTTCTGTACCCCACCTATTTTTGTACTGTAGTTGATCGTGGGTAACTGAAACTACAAATAAGGGGGGACTGTAGCTTTGTAGTAAGCTTTGATATTAGGAGGTATGTCCCCTTCATTCTTTATTCCCCCAAGATTGTTTTAGTTATTTAGGGTTCCTTGAGTATGAATTTTAGGATGGATTTTTCTGCTTCGGGGGGGAAAGAAAGCCATTGGCCTTTTGATAGGGATTGCATTGAGTTTGTAAACTGCTTTGGGTAGTGTGAACATGTTAACAGTGTTAAGTATTCCAGTCCATGGACACAGGATATCTTTTCCTTTTATGTATATCTTTAATTTCCTTCAGTGATGTTTTGTGGTTTTCAGTGTATAAGTCTTTCATATTCCTGGTTAAGTATTTTCCTAAGTATTTTTGATGCTATTGTAAATGAAATTTTTCTTAATTTTCTTTATGATCATTGTGTGTTGAAACAACTGATTTTTGTGTGTTGATTTTTATATACTGAGTTTGCTTATTCTCTTTTTTTAAATGTGTGGAGTCTTGAAGTTTTTCTATAGTTAAGTAAAATTGTCTCTGTAGATGACTTGGTTTTATTTCTTTCCTTTTTGGATGTTTTTTATTTTCTTGCCTTGTTGCTCTGGCTAAGACTTCCAGTACTACATTGAATGGAAGCAGCAAGAATGGGCATCTTTGTCTGGTTCTAGGTCTTAGAGGAAAAGCTTTCTGCTTTTTCGCTGTTCAGTATGATATTAGCTGTTGGCCTTGTCCCGTATGGCCTTTATTTGGTTGGGTATATTCCTTTTACACCTAATCTGTTGATTGTTTTGCTCATCAAAGGATATTAAACTTTGTCAAATGCTTTTTCTGCATCTGTTGATGATCATATTATTTTTGTTCTTCATTCCATTAATGCAATATATCATGTTTATTGATTTGCATATGTTGAACTATCCTTGCATTCTAGGGGGAAATCCCACTTGATCATGGTGTATGATTCTTTTAATGTGCTGTCAAATGGTTTGCTAGTATTTTTTTGAGGACTTCTGCGTCTATGTTCATCAAGAATATTGGTCTATAATTTTCTTGTTGCATATTAGTTGATAGTGCTGGTTTTATAGAATGAATTGGAAGTGTCTTTTCTTCATTGTTTCTGGATGAGCTTGAGGAAGATTGGTGCTGATTCTTCAAATGTTTGGTAGAATTTCCCATAATGTCCTGGACTTTGTTTTTTGGGAGGTTTTTGATTACTGATTGAAAATTCTTACTAGTTATAGGTCTGTTTGGATTGTCTTTTTCCCCCCCCCGATTCAGTCTTGGTAAGTCATGTGTTTCTGGGAGTTTATCTGGTTTACCCAATGTGTTTGCATGTACTTGTTCATAGTGATTTCTCAGTCCTTTTTTTTTTTTTTTTTGAGTCAGGGTCTCCTGTCCAGGCTGGAGTGTAGTGGCACAATCATGGCTCACTGCGGCCTCCAACTCCTGTGCTCAAGTGAACCTCCTGCATTAGCTTCCTAAGTAGCTGGGGCTTCAGGTGCACACCACCACACCCAGCTTTTTTTTTTTTAAGAGATCAAGTCTAACTATGCTGCCCAGGCTGGTCTTGAACTCCTGGCCTCCAGTGATCCTTCCCATAACTTGGCCTCCCAAAGTGCTGAGATTACAGGTGTGAGCTATTACTACATTTGACTTAATCCTTTATAGCCATAAAATCAGTTGTAATGTCCCCTCTTTCTGTTTTTAGTTACTTGAGGGTTGTTCTTTTTTATTAGCCAGTCTGACCAAAGGTTTGTCAGTATCTTTTCAAAGATGATGGAAATTTATATGTAATTACATGATGGTGGCGATTTGTCTCTATTGTTTTTCTGTTGTTTATCTCAAAGCTTCTGCTAGCTTTGGGTTTAGTTCCCCTTTTTCGTTCCCTAAGGTATAAAGTTAGGTCGTTGATTTAAGGTCTTTTTTTAAAAAAAATGTTATTGTGATTTCTTCTTTGACCCATTGGTTGTTGAAAGAGTGTGTTGTTTAATTTAAATGTATTTGTGAACTTTCCTGTTTTCCTTTGGCTCTTGATTTCCAGCTTCATGCCATCGTGATAAGAAAAGATACTTTTTATGATTTACAGTCTTTTAAATTTTGTTGTTTTATTTTTTGGCCTAACTCATGGTCTATCTTGGAGAACGTTGCATGTACTCTTGAGAAAAATGTGTATTCTGTTGTTGGATGGAGTGTTATGCCCAACTGTCTGTGGTTTGTTCAAGACCGCAGGTTTTTTAAAATTGATATTTGAAGTTCTCTTCTATTGTAGAGCTATTTCTGCCTTCAATTTTGTTAGTGTTTGTTTCATATATTAGAGCTCTGATGTTTGGTGCATCTATATTTATAATTGTCAATCTTATGGTGAATTGACACATTTATCATTATATATTGCCGTTCTTTGTCTCTTGTAACATTTTTTCACTTAACTGTTTTGTCTGATATAAGCATGGCACCCCCTGTTCTCTCTTTGAATACTGTATGTGGGAAACATCTTTTTCCATCCTTTCACTTTCAACTTATGTGTCCTTGGATCTAAGTGAGTCTCTTGTAGACAGCATATAGTTGAATCCAGAATTTTATCCATTGTGCTATTCTTTTGTCTTTTTTTTTTTTAAGAGACCTTGTCTTGCATCCAGGATAGAGCACAGTGGTGCAATCATAGCCCACTGCATCCTTGAACTCTTGGGTTCCAGTGATCCTCCAGCCTCAGCCTCCCAAGTAGTTAGAATAACAGACCATACTACCATACGTGGCTGATACTTGAAATTTTTTTGTAGGGATGGGGTCTTGCTTTGTTGCCCAGGCTGTTTTCAAACTCCTGGCCTCAAGCGATTCTCCTGCCTTGGTCTCCCAGAGTGCTGGGATTACATGCATGAGCCACTGTGTCTGACCCCCATTCTTTGTCTTTTGACTGGGGAGTTTAATTTATTTACATTTAAGGTAATTACTGATAGATAATTATAAAGTATTGTTCAGCTTTTTCTGGAGATCAGTTTTCCCTGGGCCCATGGATGTGTTTTTGTTGAGTTTCTCTGTATACACAGCTGCTCTTAAGTTTTCTTAATTTTCCTGAGTTTCATCCCTACTTTCTCCCTGGAGCCTTAGCTGTTGTGTTGTATTCCTCTGCCAGTAATCTTTTGCCTATGGGTTCCTGCAGGTCTGTATTTCTCCTGCAGCTCTTATGCCATGGTACCCACCATTGCGCTCTGCTTAGCATTCTTAACTAGGTGAGACAGAAACCAGTTCCTTAAGTATCCAGAGAAGCCGGAAACATTGCAAGAAGGTTCCATTCTTTACCTTCTATCCCAAGGGAGGAGCCAGGGTAAGTGTTCTCCTGACTATGCAGTATTGCACTTAGGAGAGGGGTGTGGTAAGAGTGACCAATAATACACAAAATTGCCTGCTGCTTTGAGTGTGGCTTTTTCTTGGTTAGGTATTCTTTGCTACAGCGTCTTAACTGGTTTGGTTTCTAGAGTTCTCACAAAGCTACTTTGGTCCATATGTTTATTCATTATTTCTTTGGGATAGTGGGGGTCTGGAGCTTTGTAGTCTACCATCTTGCTGACATGTGAAGTTCCTTTTTGTGTTCAAAATCATTTCATAGGTTATGCCATTATTAATTGCTAGATTAGCATTACTAAAAATCACACTTTTGCAAGTTTTTTTTTTAAAGGAATGTTTTGTATATCGTTTATAGTTTGATAGGTGTCCATAAGTGACTTGCTGGCTTTCATTAGATTGTGGTTTGGTCTTTTGTATCCAGAGGCCCTTATGTCTCGTGGACAATGTGACTTAAGGTGCTGTGTCTAGAAAACGACTGAGTGGTATACTGATGAACAGTCATCTACTAATTGATTTGAAAGCAGGCATCAAGTACCTAATGAGACTTCATACTCTGGAAACTTATTATGCATCTATTTAACTTTATTCAAGCTCAATAAAAAAAGCAAGAGAGAACAATTAAATAGAGTTAAAGTTTCTATCTACCACTTCAGTTTAGGTAAATGAATCTCTTTTGTCAGGCAGACTGCTCCTCAATTGCCATGGGTTGCATCCCAGTAAACCCAGTTGTAGCCCCATGTATGTTGAGAATGTCATAAGTTGAAAGTGCATTTTTAAAACCCTGATAAACCCATCATAAAGTTGAAAAATTGTAAGTCAATCCATCATAATTTGGGAACTGTCTGTATTAAGAGGGAAATGCTGAAGGAAAAATATAAAATATTAATGATTGTGTTTATATTAAGTTTTTCATAATGTTGACATTACTGTTTTATTTTAACTTTGAAATTTTCCACAGTGAGCATATATTTCATAATCAAGATGTTAATAGGCTAATTTTTATATATTAGATTTTACCATTTTTTATTAAGTTGATGTTTAAAAACCTGTATCAAAGAAGAAAACCAGATTTGGAGATAGGAACAATAATATTGCTGGGAACACAAACGGTATGAAGGCATGAGAAGCAATGGAGGAGGATAGAGTCGTGAAGGGAGAAAACAGAATTTGTTAAAGGAAAGCAAGAAATGAGAGTTAAGGTGTGATATACCCCAAACGGAAAAAAGGCTATTCAGGGTGGTCAGGCTGCATGAAGCAGAATGAACCTAGGGCTAAGCACTGAGTGATCCAAGCATGGGGTCCACTAGTAGGAGCAGACCTCAGTTGATCCCAAGGATGACATAAGGAGGATGTTTATCATTAACTTAGCTATTGTGTTTCTCTCCACAGAGTTTCTTTGGGTTGAATTACATGGAAGTTTGTCACTGAACTGTGTTCCTGAACTATGAAACACGCTATGTGGGCTAAGTAGTAGTTTCTCTTGATAAATAAACAATTAACAAATACTTTGAACAGTAAGTCTTTGCACAGTTATTCTTATTAACAATTCCAGGCACTTAATAGCATCAGAATTGGTTTGGGATTTTTAACTGTGTTCATGAACCTGATGAAGATAACTTGATTTCTGTATTTAACATTTCATTGTTGTAGTATACATCTTTAATTGTTTTTATATTGTCCATTTCATGCCAATACTCCTAGGTGAAGTTACTTTGTCCTGGGCCATGAATTGAAAGTGTCTTCAAGAGTCCATGAGACCACCGACTGTACTGTGGGTTCTAGGAAGGGACAGAGACAGTCCTAACAAAATCTGTCCTTGGCCTTCATCACTGTTTGGTAGTCCTGCCACCATCAGACAGATAAAATAGATCATTGAAATGCAGAGTTCCTTACTCAGTATTGCTTAATAAAGAGCTAACAGATTAAACATATTCGTATTATATCTAATCCAGAAAAACAGTCCTTTTAGTTACTTAACTAGAATTGTGTAAAGTCTGCTAATGAAAAGCAGAGTATGGTAACTTTTAGGGGGTCATCGTAGGACTTCTCCTTTAATTTTGTTTTTGTTGTGATCAAAGTGATGCTACAGAGAGCTTTAAAAGTTATTTTATTATCCAAAGCTAGTTCAATCACGAGGTGTTGTTTTATTAAGGTAACAAAACCTATATTTTACCCCCCCCCTTTTTTTTTTAACCCAGTGATGCCAGCTGTTTAAACCCAGGGGTAAGGGAAAACTGCATTGTGAAAGGATACCCCTGAAAACAATAGACATCTAATTATGGTCAGTAATTCAAGGGTATCTTTTATTTTAAACAATTTTATATATACAATTTTTAGAAGCGAAATGTAAAATCACCATAAAAGAGAAAAGAATTAATACATATTTATAATCTTGAAAATAGTTACTCTTGAGGTTGACAAAACTCACTTTCCTAAATGCGTACTACACAACAGAACTAATGAACAAACCATTTTTCATGCTCAGTCTGGGTTGCCCAGTAAGTCTTGCTTTCCAGTTACAGTTGTAGTGACTTTCTTAACAGCATGTGAAAGTCACGTTAAGCATCGCAATTGTAGGTAACGAGCTGTAGACCCAAGTTTGAATGTAATCATGTTCTAAGTTAATTAATTGGACTGTGAGATATTTACTGAATATTTACGATATCTGGTGGCCCAGGATCTTATGTCAAACCCATTCTTAGCTGCAAAATAGTATTAACACACACTGGAGTATCTTCATGCTTTCAGTCAGTTCAGCTTGAATAGACGATCTGAACTGGTGTCATTGTTAGTCTTAATGTTGGGGTTCTTGACTTCCCTACAGTAAACCAGGGAATTCCCTTTTTAGAACTGAAGAAACTCACCTGAGCACTTTGGGACTGTTTTCATTGGTAAACACAAAATATCTTCTCTAAGCTTGCCTAGTAAAACACAATCTGGAAAAAACACTTTCTTCAAAATGCACCTGCATAGTAATCAGACTGTTTTGTACATTTTAGTAAAATGCAGACTTTAGAGAGACTATACATACTGGCTTTAGCATTGCAGTTAAGTGACAAATGTAGCAAGTTGAACTACAAAGTCTTAAGCATGTCGTTTCATTGAAAGAATCCAGATCTTTTCAGACAAGGGGGGGTCTGAAGCAGAGATGGTATCTTGGCCCAAAAACAGATGCAACTGGGGATGGAGTTTTAACTTTGGCTCTCCAGTCAAAGACCTGACCACATTTTGTGTTGGAGTAGAGAGTTAATTGATCCAAGTTATAGTGGAAATTTTTGCAAATGTCACAGAGCAAAAAGGAATGCATTTTCTATGTGTGGTTAAGAATACAACATATAGGATTCTGTTAGTCATTGTCTCCAAGTGGGAAAGGAACATGTTTTTTGTCACTCCACTTTAAAGTATCTTTGCTTTAGGGAGGAGAGTCTGAGTTAATAATACCAAAATTATCAAAGTATTAGCCTTGTGTCCATGTTGGATGTTAATTAGTTTTCCTTTTTAAAAAATAAACTGCAGCTTGGCATGGTGGCACATGCCAAGGTGGCATGAATTGCTTGAGCCTAAGAATTTGAGGCCATTATGGGCAACATAGTGGGAGCCCGTCTCAAAAAGAACCACAGTCTAAATCATACAAATTGCCCAAGCAGGAGTCAACACCTCAGAGGGACTCAAGGGAACCCTTTCCTGAGGGCTTTATTTTTCACCATGGTAAATTTACTAACGAAGATATGAGCAAAATGTGGATCCACCAAATAATGGTATGTTCTAACAGTGGAGGGGGGAGGTTCTACAGCCACCACAGGGCACGGGGCTTGTGTGGAAGAACAGCTGGAGGCCAGGTGACAAGATGTCTTGGTGATGTAGTCCACGAGTCTGTTGTACTGTTGCTCTGACAGTCGCTCTCGGATTCCATCCACCTGCGATCCAAAAACGAAGACTCATTAGTTGCTAGACCCTTAAAACGAGACATTCATAACAAAATTATTCTTTTGCCTTGCTGCATTTGAACATTATGCCTTTTAGTTCATCTGATAAAGCTGCTTAATCCAAAACAGGGCTTCCTTTTAGTTTTCCTCTGAGATGGGGCAATGATAACACCGCAGAATAACAAAAGCTTGCATGAGAGGATCAGGAAAGCCTCCTTTGAATAAGCATTTGGTGTTGCATAAAATTCCCATGTTTGAAGTTGACGATTTGATAACATTCTACTCTTTAGCTATTAAAACATCCGTCATTGCTCTTTACCAACCAGCCCGAGAAAAAGGAGAAAAATGTCTTTACTCTGCATGAATCTAATCAACATTAAACTCAGCACTCTGAAATAGAAACTTTGTTAACTCAACTCCCAAACCTTTTCAGATAGAACCTATTCGGTTTGACAGAAAAACAGTGGAGAAGAACACCTCTTTCAAACCAGTGGCTTTGGATAGAACATTACAAAAATAAATACCTTTTGAACTGTAACATTTTCTGCTTTTATAAATACTATGATTTAAAGCCAGAGAAAATAGAAAAACTGGGCAGAGGAAGGGGAAATTTTTATGGAGAAAAGGGAGGATGCAAAGTACATTTATGGTTCATAAAAGTCTGGCTCATCTTCAGTGGAACTCAAATAGGAGATCTAAGATCTCCTACCTAAGTTCTTAAGTGAGATTTTCTGAGAAAGCGCCCATCAAAAAGGCAGCTGCAGCTATAAATTCTTCCCACCCTGAAGTCCTGTAGCTATCTGCTGTGTAGATCAAATGGAGTGGGAAGTCTGTGATTTTAAGCCACTGATTTGTGAAACTCAGGTAGCTTTTCACCTACTGAACATTGGCAAGACCACTCTGGAAGAATTACAATTTGAAAGGTTTTCTACTTCGGTGGAGAGCTCAGAAACAATGCCAGTGTCTTAAAAGCTGGAGGAAGCCAGTGAGATGGTGAAGGGGCCTGCCAGAGGAATAAGTAGGCGTCCCTTAGAGTTTGGGTCTCATGTTTTAAGCTTGGGGAAAAAAATAAAGGCCCCCAAAGATTCACTAACAGATGAAAGCTGTGTACCACCAGGCAAAAGCCAGAGCGCTGGTGATATCATTCAATGGGGCCAGAATTGAGCTGGAAGGCTTTGAATACACAAAAAGTCTTAATTGCTCCTCCTTAGCAGCAGCACAGGAAAGCCTGTGTTGTGAAAGGAACCCGGCCAAGGAATAAATTGACCTTCTGACTCATTTTGAGCCTCTCATAAGGGATTTCAGTAATGTGCCAGGCATATTAAGCAATTATTGCCCCTAAAAATGGCTGCATTTAACCAAGAAAAGCAAATGCTGATTTTAAAAAATTGAATTCTGCCATATTTAAATATACTGAATGATGTCATCTACAAATTAATTCCTTCCAAAATTCAAAGGAGTTGTGTATTTCCTAGCATCTACAGCAAAAGCATAAAAACGAGAAAAGTAATTTTATGCAAAGACCTTAAAATACTGCTCTTGTGTCTTCACTAAGTTTTCAAAGCAGACAGGCTTCCTTATGTCTGTGGATTATGTTGGGGTGTACTGATTGTGCTGGGGGCAGCTGAAGGAAATTCAGCGTCCTAAGTGCTGCCGACTGCCCTCCCCAGCCCTGTGTTGAAAATACACTGGATTGCAGCACCCTGGAGGGTTTACTCTCAAATATGCTTTGCCGCTTCGGTTTTCTTGGGGGCAGGGAAGGGTTATGGATATAGGATTGAGGGAGTGGTTATTTATTAGTGATGCATGGGGAGAGGGAAAGCAGAATGTGGAGGCTGAAGGCACACCGGTCATCCCCCTCCGTCCAGTACCAGGTGCTGAGCGCAGGCCGCAGGACTCCTGCTCGCACTCGTCTCTTCCCAGCTGTGTTAGCCATTCCTTAATCTCAACCATCTTTTATCCCTGGACATCAGTGGAAAATCAGTGCCGAGCGTGGTGTCCAGAGCTTCACTGCCTTTGCTTCTAATTCCATGGTCCCAAATAGCCTTGGCCACTTCTCGGGGTGGTGATCCCAGCGATCATCTCAGTCATCCCTAGGGAAACTGAGATCTGTTCCTCTCCAGCTGCAATAACTCCCCACGGCACCCACCCACCTCACACAGAAAAGCAAAAGAAACTATTGCAGTTGAAGATTGTAGAGACAGCTCGATCACAAAAAGTCTCCAGTCCATTTCAGATCTGAGATATTTCCCAAGCAGCTAAAGAATAACAATGGTCACAGATACTCCTTAGGGCCTTGGAGGTTTCTTGTTAAGGACTAAGAACTTGAAGATAATGATATTATCCTTTGCCAAATCCTGTAGCCAGATCACTGCTGCTTTATTGTCAACTGATCAGAAGATTTTGGCAGATCTAATAAAGTCAGCCTGGACATCTGACCTCTATTTATTCCCAGAAAGTCATCAACTCGCAGCAGCAGTGTAGTCCTGTGCCAAACCCTAGCTTAAAGCTGACTGATTATGATCCAAGAAACTAGAGAAATCTTAAGAGTTGTTGTGGTTGGCTGCTGTCCATCTATCTTCTCAGATTATTTTACCCAAACAGTGGTGTGAGGGAGACAGGCTCCCATTCAGGAAGAGATAATGAAAGGAGGAACCAGGCAGGACCTGCTGGAGGCAGGTTTGCTGTCCTCTGCTGGGACCATTCAGTCCCCAGGTTAGGACTAGCAAACTCCAGCTTGCCACCGACGCCCCATCGTGCTGTGTGGAAAAAGCTGTCTCCTAGATAAACAGAATCCCATGGATCAGGCCATTTCCTGGGAGGTAGGAGCAGAGAGCAGTTTGCTGTGGGTACACCTGCTTATCCTGACCTCCACTGCAGCAAGCTGGGACCCTTCTGGTCAGGGCTCCCCTCTGACGCCTGGCACCAGTATGCCCTGCCTGCGCACCCGTTGCTCATCGGCTTGTGTGTGCCAGCGGTGGGGCCACGGAGCTGCCCCAAGAGCCTAAGCGTCATCCACAGGGGATCCTGTGGTGCTTGGGGTAGGAAGCCCTCCTATGGGAAGGGAACAGAGCCCCACCACGCAAAGCAGTAGGTAGGAGAGATGCCCGTTTCCAGAATTTGGGCCCCTGAAGAGCCCAGGGTTGGGAGTGGAGGGAGTGTCTTGCTTCACGACACCCCTTGTTTCTGCAGGGTCCGCCTTTCTACCCACAGATCTGCTGCAGCCACTCCCAGGCTCATCAACCTAGGACCCAAAGTCAGACTTTCAGACCAGGGGCCTCCCTTGTGGAGTAGTTGCCGGGGATTGCTGCCCCAATCCTGGTCCTTCCTGTCCACTCCAGCCCCATGACAACCAATCAGCCTTGGCAGTTCACATGGTGGCTTTGCCCCAGGCCTTGAGCCCCTCTGCTGCCCGCCGGCTTCTCCTGTACAGGCCTTCTGTGCACGCCTGGGGGGGGTGGGGCTTCCAATGCCATTTTGCAGTGCCCCTCACTCCTACCTCCACGCTCCCTGCCTAGCAGCTCTCCTGTCTCCAGCATCCACTCCAGAGGCTGCAGCTCAGAGATGCCTGGATACGAGCAATCAGCCTGTGTCTCAGCCTCCCTGGCAGCCAGCCCCAGTCACCCTGTTTTCTGCAATGTACCTCCATATCACAGGCCACTCTTGGCTGCTTGAGCTGCACAGTGAGCAGGTTGTTTTGCTTGCTGTCCTGTGCACAGTCGATCTCGGTGATGGGGAAGGCCTGCTGCTGTGTGTCTTCGGTGACACTCACCACGAAGAGCACTTCTGATGTCAGCAGTAAGCACCCTTCATGCTCCTGGCCTGAGCCCCTCACCAGAACCACATCCAGGGCCATGTGAACTTCTGGTCTGCCCAGAGACTGTAGCATTTTCCTGTTTAAAAGGAAAAAAGAGGTCAGGCGTCAGCTTTGAGATGGCCACTTATCAGTGCTCATTTACCAAGGGTTGGGACAACCCACACAAAGCTGCCTAAGCACAGAGGGCCCTCCTCAATTCGATTCTTAATTTTAACTCAAAATGTAACTGTCAATTACTTCTCAAATTGATTCTGACCAACAGAACCGGGCTGCCCCTGGGGACAAAGATTTCCCTTGGCTCTGCTTAACTCCTTTTCTTCCTATTAAAAATGGCACCCTTAAGTAGACGCTGGTTCCACAGGAATCACAGGCCGGGCTTCTTTGCCAGTGCACATCTCCTTGAGTGGTAGGTGGGGAGCAGTTCTTTAGCCAGCCCCAAACCTGGGAACAGCAGCCTTTTCCTGGCCCGCTACGATGCCCCTGTGGCTGCCCCAGATGCCAGTGCCAAAAACAGCTGCTTCCCTTGGGACCCTCTGGAAGCATGGCCCATTGGCCTGAGTGCAAGCCAGAAGCCATTAACTACAATGTGGATGTAAAGTTGAGCAAGTGTCTTAATAATTTTACCAGACATATTTGACATGGCTATTTGGAGCCTGGTCAGCACGTAGATCACTTGGCTGATGGCGCTGTTTGGGAAGCTGAGAAAGTCCAGCTCCATGTAAAATACCTGTGGTAAGAGAAGTAAGGGAGTTTTACTAGTTGTTTTCTGGAAAACAGTTCCATGCTACAGTGAGGTCATCTGCTTAGAGCCATCCATAACATGTTACAGACCCCAAATGATGTCACATCTTTGGAAGCAAGTGTATAGATAATCAGTAAACATTACAATGCTCTTAACCTGGGTGATCTTGCATTCATAACAAACTAAGATACGAATGTGCTATAGTCCAAGCAGAGACTAGCAATGAGGGGAGGCAACGGCTCCTGGGAGTAACTGGTCCTGAACAATAGCTTGCACATCACTTACAATTTATGTGTTAAAAAAAGTCTAAATTGTTAGTTGACTTCCTTAATATTCACATACTTCTGTATCTGTGCTATGGCTAGTCAAAAAATAAGCACAACACACACACAGATACAGGCCAAGGCACACCCTTTGCCTAGATACAGTATTTAAATGCTGAGGGGCTTAATCCAGCTGTTAAACACTGAATCCACATACATTTATGAGCGCTCTCGGGCCGCTGGTTTATTATATGCTCTCCCTGGTGCTGGCACCAAACGAGGGCACCCAGCAGCAGCCATGCAGGCCTCCACAGAGACTCTTCAGGACCAAAGATGGTACAGCATGTGTGCTTTCGGAGGGCTTGTAAATGTTTATAAATGAGGTACAGTCATTAGACTAAGAGTTAGTGGTTTGTAAAACCTTCAGTTCGGTAATAAAAGTTTTACAAGAGCGACGGAAACCAAAAAAGCCATGTGAAGCTCTACTCAGAGATTCTCTTACATAAGGAGATTGGTTCCTCGGCCCTGGGAAACTCATGGCAAGGGACAATGGCATTTTCAAAACCAAAAGGACTTATGAAGTCTGACAGCTTCACCTCACTGGAGTCTCTGTCAAAAGGAATGCCGTGTTTATTCGTGGTAGTGTGCAGGCATTTGATAAGGGCGAGTTGAACTTTCTTAGAAGTTGTAGCAGTTCTTATTGTCAGTTTCCCTTACAGAAGAAGGCCGAGGGCTGCGAGGAGGGAAGAAGGGGAGAGGACATGGTATACGTGTGGTCTCAGGGGCTTTCTGATGGCTGCCTGAGGCAGAGCCTCTGTCTCCCCTCTTCCTTCCAGCCTCTGTCTACGCCCTGACCCGGACGCCCCTTGTCAGACTTGGGTGCAGGACGCCTGCAGCCCACAGGATCCTGTGGCTCCACATGCCCGGGTGAGAAATGGGAGCGCACACCTGTGGCTGACACCAGCAGGATGGTCCACTCTGTGACCAAGACGAGGACACCCATTTTTGGTAAAAAGGTATCCAGGCACGGGCTTATGGGAGTTACTTTAATGTGCTCTGCCAAGAATGTGGACACCCAGCCTGGAGGGGGCGCTTCCTTTCCCACATGCCCTAGGGCCACAAGCCACACTCCCGCAGCCAGAGCCTGGGAAGGGCCTTCCCTCCAGACCACAAACCCTGGCCAGGAGCCAGGAGCAGGACAGGCGGCAGGGGAGAAGGCCGGCCAGGCACAGGGACCTCCCGCCCCATCCTGTCAGTCAGCTCAACAGTAGAGCCTGGCTCCTTCCAGATTCCTCACAGCCAAAGGAGTGGCTCCCTTCTCTGCTGCAATACATTCTCCATACTGCCCTCTGCCTCCAAATGGTTACTTTTCATTCAAGTCTACTTGTTAAACGTACTGTAAAAAGATTCCTGTAAAAAGATTCTGTGACATGTACATATTGAAGTTGCTCATTGATTTCCTGGCTTTACAGTTTTATTTTTATTATTTTTATTTTTTTTGAGTTGGAGTCTCACTCTGTCACCCAGACTGGAGTGCAGTGGCTGCTCCCGGCCACCACAGCCTCGACCTGCTGGGCTCCGGCGATCCTTCCGCCTCAGCCTTCCGAGTAGCTGGAACTACAGGTGCGCGCTACTACGCCCGGCTCATTTTGATTTATTGTAGAGATGAGGTCTCACCAAGTTGCCCAGGCGGGTCTCGAACCCGCGGGCTCAGGCATAATTTTTTTTTTTTTTTAGTAGTACAATTCTACTCCGTGCAAATAAACAAAGAGAGGTAAAAAAGATATCTAGTCTTTGTTATTTTTTGCTGCTTTGCCATGTGAAAGGTTAGTTTATCTTGGGGGACCCTTGGCATAACCATGCAGATCAGTCAGCAACATCTGTGCTGGCCTGACACTATCGGTTGCTCCATATTCCTCCATCTCACCGTAGCCAGTCTGCGACACAAGTTCAGCGGCTCCCCCGATGGGCTTTGTGAACACGCCCACGATTCCTTTCCCCACACCCGAGATAACACCCTTGGCCTTGTGTCCTGCGGAAGCCTGTGCCTCAGATGTTTTCTGGAAGTTCTGCATGGGCTGATCCACTATACCAGCAATTGCACCTGAAACAACAAAAGCCCCAAGTAAGGACAGAGGATTAAATTGCTCAGAAAATGAAAATCTCAATCTGGAGCACTTATATTTCTATAGAACACCAGTTCCCACCTTCATTATAAATGTCCTTACTACCCATTTATCGACCAATTATTTAGGTACACTGAGGGCTGTTTAAGTTAGACATTATCTTGATCAAAACACAATGTTCAGACTGGGTCTAGTCTACACAGTCAGGACCTGTGAAGTTCAGTTCAGCATTTAATGAACATGTCAAGACTTTTCACAGTCACTCATATACTTTTCCCCAGAAATCAGGCAGCACAGTTGGAGAGAAGCGCTCAGAACCGTTCCTCAGGAAGCGACTGTTTAGCTCATAAATAAATTCACTGAATCAGGAGGATGAAAAAAATGGAAGGGGCTGGCTCCTTTCTGAGTTCCCACTTTTAGCAAACATAATAACTTAACATTAATATGTTAATTTAATATTTATTCAGAGTAACTTGATACAGTAATTATATTTCTATTATAGCTAGTCTATCTTAAGTACTTTCTAGGTGCTGAGGACTGTGGTAGGAACTTTATGTGCATGAGATCATGTAGTCCTCATATTCCCAGGAGTCAGACATTGTTTTTACCCGAATGGGGGACATGGAGGCACAGAGAGGTTTAACAGTTTTTCCCAAGAACACACAGCTGTTAAGTGGTCCAGGGAGCCTGAGTCACAGCCTCGCTCTTAACCACCAAGTTATTCCCATATCCTGTTTTTAAAGCAGGCTCTTCCTCCCTGCCGGTCTTGGAAGACATCTCTCTCTCACTTCATCTGAGGCTTGGCCACTGACTCTTCACTTAGCTCCCAAATGCTGCTTCACTGTTCCGCTCTCCAGCTTTTCCATGGGGCAACCGTTTCCTACACTGAGCCTGAGGTGCTTACAAGTGAAAGGAATCACATCCTCTTGCTCCTCCTGCTTTGAGGGGCCCATGGTGAGAGCCAGAAAAGGCCTTACCAGACCTGCTTTTTTTCATGATGCAGTGGAGGGTTCCCTAACTCGGAAAGAAGGAAAATTTTCGTTATAATTCTTGACAGAATTCTGTTTTCAACTCAAAGCCGCTAGGATTGATGAAAATGCACGGTTCCCCTGGTAGAAACTTTAGCACATGTCAAATCCCATTACTCCAAATGCCACTAATTCAGAGTCTCTTGGGTAAACAGATTTCCAGGTCTCAGTTAATGACCTGCTAATTTCAAGCAATATTCCATTGCACACAATCCAGTAAAACAAAGGCCAGTTCCTTTAGGTTAAATGTAATGGGAACGTTTTCACGGATTCCATTCCTCTGGGTTTTGACAGGGACATTTAAGTTCACGCACTGACAGATTAAGAAGGACCTGAGGCAACAGGTCTATTTCCCAGCCTAGAGTACTGCCCAAACCTTCTAAAGAGATGACCAGGTAAGTGGGGAAAGCTGCTCCCAGCCGGCCCAGGCCACCCCAGCTCAAGGGCGAGGGTCACTCCTTCAGCACCCCAGACAGCTGAGCTGGCGCTCGGCAGGGAGCTCCCCTCACATCCCAGAGCCTGAGGCACTGGACGCTCTGAGCTCCATTGGCGAGACAGGAGTCAGAGTAGCCACAGAGGGAGAGAGGTGGGGGCCTGGGGTCTTCTCTCCACATCGTCTCATAGCAGACAGTTCAAAGTGAACAGCATCCAACCTAAGAACACAGCTTTTGTGGTTTCATCAGCTGATTTCTTTGAAAACTCTCCATGCTTAAGAGTAGGAAAACAGATATAAGTAGAAATTCGCCAACACATTTCTACCTGTATTACGGTAGAAATGTCTTTTCTCAAGTGCAGCTCTGCATTACAACTATTTAAACTGGGGTAGGGGCAGGTGGTTACTTCAGTCAGGCTCTCCCATTTCCCTGAATGTGCAGCCCCAACCTGCTCAAGGAACGCGGAGCAGGGCCAGCCAAGGTCGTGGCACAGGTGTTCACGGCTGTCTGCTCCGTGCGCACAGGTATCACGGTGAAGTTCCCCTTTGATCTGCTTTCTCCAACCACTGGCCACAGCACAGGCTCCAGGGACTATGATTTTGATAGATGGACTACTTGGGCAGCCCCAAGTGGAAAGCCCCAGCCCCATGACAAGGTGTTAGATTCTTAGAGTTCGAGAAGGAGCTGTCAAATCACAGGACCTCAGCTCAGCACCAGACCCTCGAGGGGGGAAAGCCAGCCTGTCAGGCACACCAACACCTCACTGGTCGCCAGGTGCCGTTGTCTCCCTGTCTGTGCTAACGAGCTGGAGATCCGAGAGGCCACAAGAGCCCAGCGGCCATCTCAGGGTCCCTGCAGCCCTCCTTCTCTCAGGGCTTTAGACGCTCTCTTCTTAAGTATAATCCAGCTAAATCCCACAACTGGTAAATTATTTACTGTCATATACCCAAACTCTGCTCTAAGGCTTTAAGCAGTGGAAACTGATCCCAAGACTTGTTTGTTGGCGGCAGGCCCGCGGGGTGGGCGGCCACATGGAGAGGCCTGTGATGTGATGAGGCAGTGAGGAAGGGAAGTGGCCGGGGAGGGGCTTCCGTGGGCCTGTGCGCTGGGCGCAGGATGTGGGCGCTGTTGCCTCCTGCCCCTGGGGCTGTGGGAGGTGGGCTTTCTTTGTGGAACAAGGAGGCAAGCAGGGCCTTCCAAGCTCTCCTCTTCTGTGACTTGCTCCCGGCCTCGGGAGAAATCAGCTTGGTCACTGAGCTGTGAAAGTTCCTGGCTGTGTGGCTGTTTTGATGCTGCCATTCGCCACACAGGGCGATCTTATTTCGGGCACCTTTTGGCCACAAGAGCAGAAGCACAGGCCTAAGCTGGGACCCTCCGCTGCAGCTCATCATTCCAGAGAGAAGAGAGACCCAGAGCGGGTGGCGTGGGCTGGGCATTCCAGCTCGAGGCTAGTTTCTTGTGACCAGAACAGACTAGGAAACTGACAAGGAAGCACTTTGGTATTCTTCAATTCCTGACTAACCGCAAACCAGTCTGCTCAGGGCAGTCATGGGAGGGACTCCTGCAGGCCAGGAGGGATGACTCCCACATGCTGTCCTTGGGATGCACCACCACTCACTCAGAGGGGGACCCTCCTGATGTGCCTGGCAGAGGCCTGTTTTGTTGGGGTTCCACGTGGCGTAGCCAAGTATCTGTGAAGACAGAGGAGCCTCTGGGGCGTCCAGCAGTGCTTCACAAACCAGGCAGCAGCCCTGCAGAAGGGGGTGGAGGAGGTGTCCGATGCCTGCCGTTGGTGTTCCTGGATAGGACAGAATGGTTCCGGGGAAGGGGAGTGGCTGTGGCAGAGCTGCACATCCTTTCTCAGTGCAGATCCAGGGTGGAGTAGAAAGTGCGGGTGTTTGGGGGGTGGATCTGGTCAATGTGGGCAAAGCTGATGCCAGTTCTGCAGACTAAACAGTTTTTCCGAAAGCAACGGTCGAGGAGCGCGTCCAAAAGCCTCAGCGGCATCTCAGCCAGCAGACGCTCTCCATGCCGGCCCAGGGCGATGGAGCTGGGCATAGCAGCTGAAGACTTCCGGTGATTTTCAAGTGCCTCCTAACATTCCACGGCATCCCCGAGAAGGCAAAGCAGTATCAGAAAGAACCACAGAACCCACACACGTGTGGGGGAAATGTGGTTTTCAATTGTTCAACCTTCTCACATCCTCCCTGCTCCCTGGCCTGGAGCTCTCTGGGGTAGGTGACCTGTTAGAAGGGCCCAGGTTCTTGTCTTTGCTGGAGGTTTGACCTCCACATCATTTGGCTTCATCCATGCCCACGGTTGTGAAGATCAAATAGGATGACATGTGAAAATGCTTAACCCTAAAATTTTCTTTAAGTATACTTTTATTAACTGGGTCCTTGTGCATTTGCCTTGCAAAGGAAGAAACGGAGAACTGGAATTTCCATTTCACTAGCATAGGTCTCAAACTATTATGTGAGGATAGCTCTCATTTCAATGAGGCACTGCACTGAAACTATATGGCAGTTTCCAATACCATTTCTGGGGGTGGATTAAGGCGACCAATCTGCACTTTCCAACGTGAAGAGCCTTGGTTGGTCCTACCCCCCCGCCCTTCTTCTTGTCACACACCTGGTGGTTCCAGGACCAGACATTCTGAGATAACTCAGAGGTTACAGGGAACACAGACAGGCTCTTGAGCGCTTACAGGAAAGGAAGCCGGTTTGGGCCGGGTTGAGATGCCCAGTGTGAACTCTGTAGAGTCCAGAAGTAGGCACCCTGCTCAAGTGTGTGCTGGGCTGGGACCAGAGCTCCAGCAGGTGCAGGCCAGGTCAGTGCTGGCAGGTGCAGCCAGCATGCACAGAGGAAGGCTTTATGTCAGCCCAGAACATTTTCTGGAAATTACCAGAGATGCAGAAAGACCCCATGAGCCCACCGCAGTTTTCACAGACTAAACGACCCCCTTGCACAGTTGAGGGAGGATGTGAGAAGGTTGAACAGACTAAACGACCCCCTTACACAGTGGAAACTGGGTGGTGGCTGGGGGCATCTCTGGGTGGGAAGATAATAAAACTCTTGGGCTAGAAGGGGGTCAGGGAGTCAAGGTGGAGATAGTCACACGCCAGCCAGCTCAGGCCACTCTGAGGAAGGCTGGAATGGAGAGAAGGAAGCTCTCAAGCCCAGAGCAGAGGCATTTAAGCCTGGAACTTACAGCAGAAATAGGTCCCAAAGTCCCAAAACAATGACCTTGAGGCCCCCTGACATAACCTTGTTGTCACTTTCTCAAGTTGCAGCCGCTTGATCCCCTGGATTAAGTGAAAATGCTCCTGCCATCGCTCATGTCTCTTTGCTGGGACACTTGAAGACCAGGCGACGCTTACAGCAACTCCTGTGCTGCTGACCAGACTCGAACTCTGTGCCTGCCACATAACTGCCCAGTGCTACTTCTAATCATGGTATTGCCAGCCCCGTGTACCAAAGAGACACCCAGGCTTAGAGGAGTGAAGGGCTTGCCTAAGGTCACAAAGAGAGGACCTGGACACTCCAGTCTGGGGTCCGGGGCTCCTGAGGGAGGTGGTCCACCCACCCCGCCACATCACCGCCCCGCAGGAGCCACCATCGCCTTCCGGTTGCGAGTGGCGCAGGGGCTCTCCCTCACCCAGCATGCTCACTCAGGGTCCCTAGCTTCCCCTTCCACCCTTCGTCAGATGACCGGCCCCACACCACTGGATGTTCTTACTTAAATAATTTCTAGCAACTTAACCTGAACTTGTAACGTTTTACTACTTCCTCCCAGAGCCTCAGCTGGCTGCGGCTGCGAGTTGAGGAGCTGTACGTGGAGCTGAAGATTGGAGAGAGGGCAGATCCTTTCCAGCTCGTCTCTTCTACCCTGTGCTGCGCACTGCTTTTGGTCACTTTGATCTCTGGGAGGCACACACTCCCTCAGATGTGCACAAGGCACGTTGCCAAGCAATACAGTTTTAAATTCCTTTGCAAACAAATAAACAAAAATACCCTTGAAAATCCTGCTCTGCAAACTTTCAGCTCTGAAGCTTCCTTTTTATAGATTTTTCCAAAGCAACTTATTTTCAAACATTTGTAATATTTTGAAATATCCATAGCAATCTTCACCTCTAACTATACCATCTGGCTGCTCGACAGACAATAATTGCTCTGAGTCAGGCTGATCTCAAATACATAAATAAAGTAAAAGGGAAAAGTGGTCTCCTCACTGAAGTTTATGTGGCATTTGCATGTTGCTCAAGCTCTTAGACAAAAGCCAGCGTCTGCAGGATCCATGGGACTGGCAGACCGATGCTTTGGAGGGGTGGCCTACAACTCACTTCGAAAAACAACCAGCTGCACGCTGCTGTCCTTGTGTGAACACTGCCGTGCTCGGGGCCTCCTGGGGAATTGTTCCTTCCTTTGAAGAACGAGGCCCAACATACATTTCCTACTCAGGGCAAGGGGAGGAGCTGCCAGCGCTCAGGCAGGGCGCTTCGGCGGGGCAGGTCCTGGAAAGGCTGGTCTGCGAAACGGTCCTGTTCCAGGGCCTCCCGGCTAGGCAGCACTGTGGGAGCCAGTGCGAGGGCCTTACCCACCCTGAGCACGTCTCAGCCACCCAGGAGAGAAGGTGAGGCTGCCAAGCCCGGGGAGACCCCGCCCTCAGCCTCCTGCCGATCCCGATCCCACGTGCAGACAGGGGATTCCCCGCAGCCTTCCCAGCCCTCACCGAGCAGGCTGATGCCCAGCCGGGACAGGCCTTGTCGGAGCCCCTCGCCCAGGCTCTCAGGAAGCTGCCGCCGCCACTCCTCCTGCCGGTGGTAGTGCTCCTCGTCCAGCGAGAGCCGGTCCATGTTCCGGGCCAGGCTGGTGGCCAGGTTGGTGATGGACGTGAGGGTACCTGAGGGCACAAGAGCACAGAGTTGGCCTCCTTGTCTCATCCACGGACCCCGGGGCGGTGGTCCTGGAGGGCTGGGGGCAGTGGTGCTTATGGCGCCTTCTGGACATGCCCAATGGCGAGTGATGGTGGTGTCCTCTTGGGCAGTTTGAAGCAGGAACCTTAAGAAAATGAGGTGAGGATGAACGCTTGCACACAAGGGTGACTGCACTCTCTAAAACGCGAGATGAGAGTTGTCGGAAAGCGCCCTAGAGCTTTATGTGAAATGTCCTTCACCAGAATTCATAGTTAATGCTTGTTCAAAACATTCCGTTTTGATGTCCTCATTGGAGCCAAGTCTTGAAGGTTAAAATATGCCCTCTCTGATTTTAAAGGATGAGGTTATATTGCTAAATCTTAGATTATAAAGAAATCTTTCCACCTTAGGAATACACTTTATTCCCTAAACTTTACCATTTGACATTCGGAGGAAAGGATTATTGTGACACAGAGAATACATGCAATTTTGATATTCGGGACATTAACTGAAAAAAAGTGAGAATGATAAAGGGAGTAAATCATGTGAAAGCCACGATTTCGTATGGTTTCCCTAAGAAAGGCTATTTCATCATTGTGCTCAAAACAGTCCCTCCCCCCAGCAAGTCTGCATATATTTCAGTGAGCAAAACTGAATGGACATCAGTGGACAGATCTGGAAGCCAATGAACTAGCCCATCTGCAATCAGAGATCTGGTTGCAAGAAGTGGCTGACATTTTTGTAGCTGCATCTTTACCAGTAACCTGAAAAGAAAAAAGTACACACACGCGCGCGCGCGCGCGCGCACACACACACACGGATACCAAGGCAGAGATTTTGCTAAGAGAAGGCGAGAACAAGTATAAAAACATTCTGTGAGTCAGTATGCTGAAAGTACCACTGAAGTTCAACTTAGCAGGTGTTGGTTGTCTTATTTTAAAATAAAAACAACAGAACCACAGAGATTCCAGTGTCAAGACTGAGAAATCCACCAGTGACTCATCTGGTTTCTGCAGCTCAGCCCCAGGCCTCCCCGGATGATTTGAGGCTTGGGGGAGTGTCCTTTTCATTGTCCATGGAATTTGTTTCTATTGCTCTTGCTGTTCTCCTGCCAACCCCCCACCCCCTCTATGGATCACCAATTCTCAAATTTCAAGCTCAAGTCTCCTTTTGAGGCCTTCTAGAGACTTCCACAACCTGCCCACTCAAAGGAGTTGCAGCACCGTCTATGGTAAAATGCCTCTTACAGGGAAGAAGCCCTTTGCCCTGTTTTTCCTGCCTCCTGCTGAGAAGAAAAGGGGACTCAGATGGCCCTTGTTAGATCCCAAGTCCCTGCCAACCTGACCAAAATATCCAGCAAACACACTCCGGATGAAATGAAAACATTCCCCTTCCTGCAGGAAGCACTTCGGCATCTGTGCCGATGACCTGTCTGGCCACAAGATGGCACTGTTTACGTAGTGTGCTAAGAGAGGAGGTGGCTGCTTCACCTCCAAATCTGCGTCTATGTCAAAATGTATCCATATCCTGAAGAAAGTTATGACAACTGTATCTACAGTAAAAAAAAAAAAAAAAAAGATGAGGCAACACAGTGTAGGATTTCTGATGTTTAGCAGAAATCCTGAACACCTTTAATATTTCTGTATTTATCACATGGAATAACAGTTGAGCCAATCCTTGTTTTCCCAATGGGAGGTTTAAAATTCTTAGGTTTCTGAAACATTTTCACACACTACAGGCAGGCAGTGATCTGTTTAAAACATAAGACGTTATATATGAGCTTTGTTACAAATCCAACCTCTCACTGCAAGCTAACAAGCCAAACAAAGCTAGAGGCAATCTGAATGCATTTAAAACTTTGACACGTACTTTACAAAAAAAAAAAAGACAGGGAAGGAATGAAATTAAGGCATTATTATAGGGAACTGAAATTGCTACCTTTGGAAATGTGCTTTACAAATGATGTTGTCCCTCTGGAGACGCCGCTCACGAAGGCTCCTGGGCCTCGGGTCAGGCCCTCATAGGGAAGCCTGAAGAAGTCAGCGATTCCATTTCCGATGCTTCTCACCAGGCTTGCCGGGCTGCCGAGGATCTCCAGAGACCCAACCACCCAGCCTGCAGTGGACCAAAGGGAGAGGGTTACTGGAACCTTAAACACAGCACTGTCAACACTGGTGAAAAAGTGACCCTTTCCCCCTGCAAGTTATTTTCCACGCTAGAATTAAGAATGTAATACACTTCTTTGGGGCAAAATAAGTCATTCGCTGTGGATTCAGAAATGGCAAACTTTCATACTTTGTAAATCAAAGTGATTCTTTAAGGGCCCCACAAATGGCTTTAATATGACTTCCTGGCTGAGCCTCCATGCTCCTGCTAAAAGGGATCCATGTGTGGGTACGCACACTGCCATCACCCAGGGAATGCATGTTCTGGGGCTGCAGGTGTTTGCAGGAGGGACGTTATCTCTAAAACCCCTGGGCAGCCGTGGAGGCTCCAAGATGAGGAGGACATGCCTGGTCAGGGGCAGGTGGCCAGATGCTGAATGGGGCGTTGCAAAGGGGATGCAAGCTTCTGACAAGGATGGAGGAGTTATTTTTAATCTTCCCAATCCTACCACGTTGAGTGCTTTCCTTTGGAGCAGAGCTAGAGCCAGACAAATGTCTCCCCTTCAACCCCAGCTTCGCTTGTGTAAACATTGGTGACAGGGACATACTGATGAGGTTAGCGAGAGGGGAGTGTTCCTTGTGAAGGTCCCAGGAGGGTAGCTTTGGATCTGGTTTCCTAGTTAAGTTCGGGCTTGCCAGGAGCCAGCCTGCTCGGTGGCCTGATTGCCGTGTCTGCTGCCTCGTGGGAATGTGGCTGTGGGGAGGAGTCCGGCAGAGGCTGCCTTTCCCCTTCCGCCCTGGGGGACCTGGGGCTGTAGCCCAGCGGACTGGAGGCGCAGGCAAGCACCCAGGGCCAAGGAGAAAAGGAGTCCCAAAAGACAACTTCCTCTGGCCTCCCCAGCCCAGCACTCAGACCCTCCAATGGGAAGGCCACAGGGACAGGACTGTATGAGGCCATCCCCCGCTCACCAGCAGGTCCTTGAAGGACAGTCCTGTGACAGAGATCCTTGGTCGCATCAGTGATCTGAGGGGACGGGAAGGTGTGGCTGCAAGAGCCAGGCCCAGGTCCTGAAGGCCCCACGCCCAGCCCATGCAGAGTCCCCTCGCTTCTCTGTAACATCAGGATGACAACACTAGGGTTTGGGGCAAAGGCGAGAATAATTTCCAGACGACAAAGATGACAAGTGGGAGGACCTGTGAGTGCCGGGCATTCAGCTCATTTAATCCTAACAGCACCTATGCAAGACAAGTATTACTATCTCCCTTCAAATAAATTCAGGTTAGCTAATGACTGAGCTGCTGTTTGGAGACAGTAGGCAGAAGCAAATCCAACATGGTTTCACTCTGTCTCCACGGTCCCACATTCAGACAGGAAAAGGGGGAAACTGAGGCTCAGAGATTAACTCAGTTGCTTACAGTCTCCCGGCTAACAGACTCGTGGGTTGGGTTTTCAACCCAGGTATACCTGATTCCAAAGCCCACCCTCCCCTTCTGTGAACCCAGGCTGCAAAGAGTAGGCAGAATGCTGTGAGCCGGGCTCGGTGGCTCAACCTGTAATCCTGTGCCTTTGGGAGGCTGAGGTGAGTGGATTGCCTGAGCCCACGGGTTCGAGACCTGCCTGGGCAGCGAGACCTCATCTCTACAATAAATCAAAAAATCAGCCGGGCGTGGTAGTGCGCGCCTGTAGTTCCAGCTACTTGGAAGGCTGAGGCGGAAGGATCGCCGGAGCCCAGCAGGTCGAGGCTGCGGTGGCCGGGAGCGGCCACTGCACTTCAGTCTGGGTGACAGAGTGAGACTCCAACTCAAAAAAAAAAAAGAATGCTGTGGGAGGTTCTAGAATGTTTCTTCATGGGGAGGCCCTCTCTGGAGGTAGAGTAACAGCAGATTCCCTTTAGCCTGGCATGGCTGTAAGGCAGAAGGTCAGTCTGGAAACATCTTGATTCCCCCTCTCTCCAAAGACTCTGCCAAGCAGAACCAAGCAGGCCTGTTCAGGTCAGTGCAAGGGACACGGTGGCGGGGGGGTGGAATCCCCCAGCCATGCCATCTCGCTCTGCCCAGATGTGGGGACCCACCCCTGCTCCTTCCAGCCACATGAAGGGTGGGGCTGGGATTTCCTGGATTAAGACCACTGATGCTTGAAGCCACTGCCTGATAGGAGAGCTATGTGTGGCCCAGAGTTATGCAGTGGCAGTGGCATCTGAGCTGGCCAAAAAGGGCAGAAAGTATCCAAGAGTACTCCTTTATTTTCCTCCATAAGCAAAAATATCTTTTGTTTCTAAGTGGAGAATTTTGTTGAAAAGGGGAGTTTGCCCAGCTTCCCATCAAACTGAGACTGGGGGTAGACAGAGACCTCAGAAATTAGAAAGCCCACATTCTCTCTTTCAAACAGGGTTAATTACTTGTTTCTAATGACTGTTTATTTATAAAGCCTCTTCGAGGCAACTCCACACCTTCCCTAGAAATGCCAGGTGTCTTCCACCACTGTAGGCAGGAACCCTCTACCCAAGGCCAATGGGGGAGTGTTGACCTAAGTGAGCTGCAGATGCACCTCGCTCACCCCCAGGCTGCCCTCTACCTTGCTCTACAAGGATGCTACTCTATTCTCTCAGACTTTTCTCTCTGGAGTTGGCAGCCTCTGGCCATCTTCCCATCTCCTACTCCTCTAATCACTGCTTTCTTTCAGACAGTCTTCAGCCTGTTCATAGATTTTTTAGTGACAGAGTTTCCAACAGGGTCTAAAAACTTGGCCTTCTATATTAGAATTCCTTATCTTGGAATACATGGGATTGGGATGGAAGCTTAGAGGATTTTTAGCTGAATTATAAAAAATCCAAATAGAATGTTCTTATGAAACCTCATTAAAAACATCAACCAAAACAGAGATCATTGTTTGCACACAGGCCGCAGGGGCGTGGTTACCTGGTGCCTCTGGTAGGGTCTCCCTGCCAGCTCACTACACAGATGGGTGCTCCCCACACCTCAGCATCATGCAGAGACCCAGCGCGAGGCTTGGTCCTTCCCAGGCCTCAGGTCAGAGCTCAGTAAGCTATGGGCCTGCTTCTCATGTTAAAAGCAAAAGCTGCCCGAAAGGAACATTTTCTGGAACTATTTATAAATACATCTATTTATTAAATTTGAAATGCTGCTTTTTAAAAAAAAAATAATTTCTTAGCAAGAGGGAAATATTTTTTTCATTGTTGTGCAAGCGATCAAAACAACAGGTCTGGCAGGGCCCAGCCCCTGATCTGGTCATTATCTTTTATGAAAAAGTTCTGGACAGCCCTGTTAAGTTTATGAATTTCATTATGGAGAAAATATGGCAACAGCACAGGTCACTTATTGCTGCCATCTTCATTTTACATGGGAATGCATTCGAGCACAATGTTGCAAAGAGGGTAGAACAAAGGTTCTCTCCTTTACTTTCAGTATATGAGGCTTCTATGTTCTTTACTGGAAAGATTGACAAGACCAGCTCTGGATGGTGTTTTTTGCTTGAATTCTTGGGACCCAGATTATTAAACTAAAAGAGTGAACTTGATGAGGAATACATGCTTGGATGCTGATTATCATAATACAGCAGTCCCCAGCCTTTTTGGCATCAGGGACCAGTTTTGTGGATGACAATTTTTCCATGGACAGAAGCATGCCACTTAGATCCCTCCATGTGCAGTTCACAACAGGGTTCATGCTCCTATGAGAATCTAATGTTGCCAATGATCTGACAGGAGCCAGAGCTCTTCTCACCAGATGCTTACCTGCTGTGTGGGGTCATAAAGTATCCTGAAACCATGGTCCCCAAAACTCAGTCTTTAGTGCACGGTACTCTCCATACACAATTTTGTACACATATTCAAACCACCCCTTGCAAACTTTTCCAGCCAGAATGAGAGGGGAAGCCTTACCTCTACCATGAGCCCCTGAGAAGCAACAGTCCTCCACCTGGCCCCAGAGAGAGGTAGGCTGAAGCAAGGGCCATTCTTTCTCTTTGGGCTCAGGTCTGTGGAGAGGCTGAGACACCAAATGCCTTCTCTTTGCCAGCTTTCTAGATAGGTAGTGCTGCACTGGACAGATAGAGAGCTTGCTGTGCGTCTTACCAACACACAAATCCTCTGAATTTCTCACCTTCTGCTATTCATGATCAATAAAGAAAAAACCTAGTACTGGATTATTTTAGGCCCAGGGACTGAAGGCCTGGGCTTCTGCTATGCTACTGTGTTAAGAAAGGGTCTTGTGCCTGCAAGATGCTTTAAAAAAGTGTTGGCTAAATTGAATTAAAATTCTAAGTTACGGCTACAGTGCCAAGCAAATATTCTCATATGATCCTCTCAAAAACCTTAAAGCCTGTTTTATAGATGAAGAAACTGAGACTCAGGGAGGTTCAATAACTTGCCTAGGTCGTCTGTCTAACAGGGCAGAGTCTAGATTTGGGTCCAGTTCTAACTGTAGAACTCACATAAGTTACCTCTTGCCAATTGTTTTCTTGTATCTTGAATGAGGCTCTTCCCCAAAGCGTGTCATTTTGCCCAGGTTCTAGCTCATCACAGACGCCCCGCTTGTGTCCTTACCTGCTCTAAAAAGGGCCCCAGCGGCGTAGTGCATCGCCAGAGCATGCACGAGTTGCCTTGCAGTGGTGAAGATGGGTCCTCGTTCAAACACCGAGAAGGAGAGAGGAGTGTGGTCAGAGGCTATGTACAGCTTGAGGGATGCATGGATGCTGACGAGCAAATTCACTGGCTGGATCACCAATTTCCGTAATTTCACAGGGTTCACCAAGGCCCTTGCATGCTGTGTGACCAGCTCAGGTAACACCTGTCTACCCCTGGAGACGTGCATGGAGTGACCAGCTGGCCTGCTGCTAGGAAGGTAAGTGTCAAACAGAGTCTTAATATAGTACACAAATGTATCTTCCACGTATAACCGGGCAGGTTTCAGTTCAAAACTGAACTCGTTGATATCACATAAGAAGCTCTTGCCCTCAGATAAAGTAATACAAAGTTTGATAAAACAGTTTTCTTTGTATTCTTCCAAATCTTTGCTGGATATGAGGAGACTCTGTATTTTAGAACACTGAATAGGTTCTGTTTTTTCTCCCTGGCAGACCAAGACTGCAAAATGGAAATTAGATTTGCTGTAAAGCTGGTTGTCCAGTTGAAGGTCCCCACAGTAGACTTCCACACAGTATAGTTCAAAGAGGGCAGCTGCAGGCTCTTCCCCAGGGAAGGGACCAGCCCCTGGGGCCAAGCAGAGAAAAATATTGTCCAGTGTGAGTCTCAGAAGCTCAACGGATGCTTTGTGGTGAGTGAGATCATCAAACACTGCCAGGCTCATCTGAGTGATGAACATTTTAAATGTAACTGTCTTCTCCAGAGTTCTAGAGGAGAAAGGGAAAAGAACATTAGTCTCCACTACCCCACACAATTCTTTCTTTCTTCTTGTTTTTTTTTTTAATGACAATGCCTTACTAAATACCTCCTGATGGGACATCAGATTAGCATAAGAAACAAATAAGAACTAAACTTTCAGTACATCCTGTCTGGACAGAGCCAGTCACACTCCAACAGCATTGGGAAATGCTCCCAATGGGACTATTACAAGTTCTTGTCATGTTTCTCTATGTGTCTCCCTTATCAACACCAGATTTCGCTCCCCAGTCCTAGTCTTTGTGCACTAGTTCTCTATCATGATGATCACAAGACAGAGAGATAATAAAACAACGGAGACTCCCTAAATTGAAAAAGTAAAAGAAGCAGAAGAAAACTAAGCAGGATCTCCCGCCACAACTGCCGACTTACTGCGCACAAGTCTGTGCTCTGCTCACTCATTTCTAGGGCAGAACTGCCCATGCTCTGTCTCAGGTGAACCCCTCTAACATGCCCCAAGATCACTGCTCTCATCTACCCCAGGACATCACTTTAGCAATTCACCTCTTTCCTACAGCATCGTTTTCTTCATCACTAGCAGCTTGCAAAAATGCTGTCATTTCTCTTATCTCAAAAAATCCCCCCTGTAGCTCCACTCCCTCCTCTATGGACCCCATTTACATGGAAATTCTAGTGTGCCCTATACAGACCGTCTCCTGTTCTTCTCCTTCCTTGCTCTCTGCAACTTGCTTGGAGCAGGATTTTGTGCCCCAACCCCCAGTCTAACAAAACAACTCTTGTCAAAGTCACCAGTATCTTCCATTTGGCCAAATCAAATGATGGACTTTTAGTTTTTTGCTCCCCTGACCTGAACTACCAATGGCATTTGACATTGTTGGCAACTCCCTCCTTCTGGAAACACTTTCTTTACATGCCTTTTCTCAGCTCTTCTACCTCTGTTCACTCATCCTTAGTCTCCTATGTGGACCCCTCCTCCTCTCTCAGACCTCTCAAACTTAAGGTGCCTAAGGCTTAGCCCTTGGTCCTCTTCTTGTCTCTGACTTCCTTGGAGATCTCTGACTTCCTTGGAGATCTCACATAGGCTCTTGACTTGAAATACTATCTATATGTTAATGACTACCAGAGCATATATTTAGTCTAGAACTCCTCCAGAACTCCCGTCTTGTGCATCTACCTGCCTATCCACACAGTCATTGAGATGTCTCAGTGACATCTCAACTTCTCACATCTGTAATCAAACTCTTGACCTCACCCCCAACCTATATACCATCTTTTCTATCTCAGTTAATAGCATCCAAATCTTATCAGTTCTCAGAACCAAAATTTTAGAGTCATCCTTGATGCCTCTATTTCCGGCCCTTATCCAATGTATCAGGGAAATCCCACTGGACTTTCCTTAGAAGTGTATCTAGAATCTGATGGTTTCTAACCATTTCTACTGATACCACAGTCTAAGCCACCAGTGCTAGTGTAACTGTAGTAATTTCCTAACTAGTCTCCCTTGCTTCTGCCCCTGTTTCTCTATAGTCTACTTCAACAAAGCAGTCAGTGGTCTTCTAAATTTAAGTCACAGTGTGTCATTTCTCTGTTCAAAATGCTCTAATGACTTCCTCATTTCATTTGGAATTAAAGCCAAGTCCATCAATGGTCTGCGAGGCCCCACACAAGGAGTCTCCCTCCTTCCTTCCAGCACTTAGCTCGCTGACCTCATGCAGTGCTATTGCCACCTTCACTGGCTCCACTGGACCCACACCGGCTTCTTCCCTGGTCCTCTACTATGCCAGGTACACTGCTCCAGGTTGTTGAACTGGCTGTGCCCTCTGTCTGGAGAGCTCTTCCCTCAGATAATCACAGTACTAATCCCCTTGCTGCTTTCAAGGCTTTGCTCAAATGTCAGCTTCTTGGTGAGGCCTATCTATGCCAATTAGTTTAAAGCTACGCTCTCCCTATCCCTGGGCCCTGGCATTCCCTGTCCATCTTACTGGGCTCTGTTTCCATTCCTGTAGTACTTAGCTTCTATTGTTCCATAACATTTCCTTTTTTATTATGTTTGTTCTCTCTTTTCTCCCTTCCATACCCATTCCATGTCTATGAGAATATAATCTTCTCAAGGGCAGGGATTTAACTTTTTTATTCATGAATGTATCTCCATCTCTAGAACAGCACTGGGCATTCATTAATTTGTTGAATTAATGAATTAGGGAAGTACAAATTAATACCTGTACCGTGCTTGTTTCTACCACAGAATGTACAGGTTGGTGCTATTGTCATTAACATTTAAATCCTAGATAAAATGTTTCTGAAATTGTGGTATAGGCTTCACATTTTGTGCTATATCATTTAATATCCAGTCTCCAATTTTGTTATACTATTAATTTGTACAAACACTTTCGAGCAAAGAAAACATTCTGTCAAACATTATTTTAATAGTATAAATTCAAATTAGCTGAACCCATGTTAATGAGTTCTTAACCATATATGAGAAGCATGAAGCTTTTTTTAAAAAAGGTTTAAGCAAATGTATGAAAAGTTGGCATTATTTCATATTTTAATTTTAAATTAATTTTTATGATTAAAATGATATTAAAATTAAAATACATAAATTATTGATTAAAACATTATGAAAGAAAAAACCTCAGAAATTAATCACTTATATGCCCACATCTATGAACAATTTTGATTGTTTCTTTTCCTTTCAGTCTTATTTCTAGGAATGTTTTGTGTGTTTATACATATATAAGTATTTATGTATATATGTGCATAAATAACACATAACTAGGAATATATTTATTTAATATATTCTGCTTGCTTTATTTTAGATGATCTCATATGCATTTTTCTATTTCATCAAAATTCTTTAAAGCCTATTTCTTGTGGAAGTAACATTTATGGTACATTTATATATCATCCATTTCCCTACTGATAGACATTTGTACTCTGAATATTTTGCCATTATAATTAACACTGTGATAAACATCTCTCTGTGTATATCTTTGTCCACTTCTCTAATTATTTCCTTAACCCTTAAACTCTTAAAACTCTTAAAAGTGGAATTTCTAAGCCAAAGGGATTTTGAAGCTCTTAACACATTTTGCTAAAGTGTTTTCCAGAAAAGGGTACCAATTTACACTTCTACCAGGACTGTATATGAGGAAACATTATTGTTAATTTGATAAATAATATCTGATTTAAGTTAAAATTTCTTTGACTACTTATATTTCCTCTTCTTTTTCTGTTCATGTCTTTTGCCCTTATTTTTGTTTTTTTGGAAGGAGTAGATATCTTTATATTATTTATATTGAACTATGTGAGTTCTTTTAAATTAAGGATATTCAACTCTTTGTCTGGTTCATGTTTTTAAAACCTAATGCCAACACATCATTCAAAGGTTGGAAAGTATGGCTCTAAGAGATGTATTTACATTTGATACAGCTCTAATTACTAAGTTTTATTACTAATTATTAAGTTGTCATCTGGATACAGAGGTATTAACTTGCATTTCATGCTAATAATAATGGTAGAATTCTAAGATGTACAGTTTTTAAATCACTTAGACTTATCACAGAAGAAGTAGAAGGTACCCAAGAAAGATGATATTGTTACCTATTGTAGGTATGATTTAATGCTAATAACCATATTCTGACTTAGGGATTACACAATAATCAGCCAAAAGCTTCAATACATATGTATATGTCATGTAAATATATGACCAAGAATGGGGTTTATAACTTTATACTAGGAAAGCGTGTTATTCCGCTACTGGGGAAGTATTAAACCTACCTGTTGGTATTGGTTAAAATAGGTCCTGCTTTTCCTTCTGGGGCCACAGTGATGAAGACTGTGCCACACTGATGGACAATGTCCACATACACATAGCCAAAGCCAGTCAGGAACACAACCTACAAAAAGAATATTCAAAATCTGATTAAAGAGAAATAAGAGACACTACTGAAGTGGTTGACTTCAACTGTCTTACGTTTTGCCTCAATACCACAAACACTTCCTGGTTATATTTCTTTATATCCATGTGTACAGGCTATGCAGTTGACTTGAAATGAAAAAAAAAATCAAATCCAGATTTTTCAATATTCAGCTGTAACGTTCATAGAAAAAAAAATGATGGATGATGGGGCATGGGTGTCTTCATTCTCTGCTTCTTTGGAATTGGCAAATAACTCTGTATGGGCTGGAGTCCAGCCATGGGGCCTGCTTTATGTGTGCATATGAATCTTTGTGAGAAAAAACTCCCAAAAACCTAACACTCAGGATGTGAGATGCACTGTTCAAAAACCTTCCAGGCTCTTGAGTGATGACTTATTTCTATGGGAGTGTTCTTCTGTGTTGGGGACACAAAAGCATACCCAAAACTCTACCAATAAGACATGTCACAATCCCTCGAAGGTCCTTCATATAACTTGTAACAAGAATGTTAGATAAGGTACGCTTCTTGGAGTCAAAATTAATTTTTCTTCCATGAGAAGGTGGACTAAGACCTAAAAAAACATTCTATCTCAGAAGCCAGGTGCCAGGCGAGCAGAACAAATGTCCTTTCAGCATTAAATACCAATGTTGCTTAAATGGCTAAATATTTGAAAACAGAACAGAACTATTTGAAAAACAAGTCCAAGAACATCATGTTCACAGCCAGGATTACCTGAGGGTAGGGTAAGAACCTCCTCATGCTTGGAAATGCTGATCTGATGACTTGCATTATCGACTGAGGCCAAGTCTGGGACCTTTGTTATTGTTAGGACAGCAAATAAAAGAAGACAGACTGAAAATTCCTGGATGAAGGAACAAAGCTAGGTTCTTGCTTGACAATATTAATGTATTCTAATTTTGGCCACACGAAGACGTACCAGAGAGAGTACGCAGAAACACAGCAGAGTCACAGACTCACATTTAGAAGCAACTTCATGACCAATGGGCTTCTTTTTCCTTCAGTGGTGGCTCCTTCAGAATTTCTGACCCACTGCAGCATTCAGGGGACCTGGATGTCATCTCTGCCACCTCCCTCTTTTCCCTGCAGCCCAGCTGTCATCAGCTTCTCCAGCTCTACCTAGCTCCTCTACTGCTATCTTCTTTTTCATTCCACAGCCTCTGCTATAGCTTGGGCCCTTCCTTGCCACTCGCCACTCCCTGTGCCTAGAATATGCTTCTCCCCACACAAGACCTTTCACAATCCTGTGTATCTGTGCACAAACAGCTTAACAGATGGCTTATTCCAAGAAGCAATTCTTTAATTTTTCTATTCCCGTCCAGCTTGACACCTACTTCTATATTCTAAAAGCACTTTAAAAATGTTTCTATTTGAACATTAATTTTATTGTCTGTTTATATGCCTGACTCAATCCCTATCTGTAGACTTCTTAAGGGCAGAAATGGAGTCAATTTGTTGGGTCTGTTTTTTCTATGAACACGTTTCTCAAATGGATTGTTCTGTAAAAATATCTGTTTCAAAAGACTCTGTATTCTGAATTTGGTTCATTTGTTCCAAGATAAGAAACGAACTCGACTATGATAAAATTTAACAGTAAAATTTAGTAGCATAAAAATGGCTCTGCTCATGAATCTAAAACAAAATACATATTCTTTAGGAAATATTTCCATTTTCAAAAGTCATTCCTTTGTATGATATATAAATCACATCAAATGCTTTTGAACTAGACTGAAAGATATGGAATTATTCTTTTGGTACAAACCTTTTTAAGGCCCTTGCTCCCATCTATATTCCTTTTCTAAGTGACTGTCCAATATTTCCGTGTATATATTACAGGTTTTTAGCAGAGAGTGCTAAAAGTGAGAATTACCATCCCTCAAAGGAAAGAAGGGGGTGTGAATAGGAAAATATTAATTGTTCTGCTCATTCTTAATCTTTAGGCATTATAAAATGAGGATACTTACACATTTTTTTTGAGATGGCTCTATGTTGCCCAGGCAGATCTTGAACTCCTGGCCTCAAACAATCCTTCTGCCTTGGCCTCCAAAAGTTCTGGGATTACAGGGCATGAGCCACTCTGCCTTGCCCAGTTAGATACTTATACTTTCTAAGATAATAAAGATAAGGTATGCTGGAGGTTTGTGTTAATTGTCCAAGGGACACTTCAAAGGAAGGAAATTAATCTAAACTTCTATGGTATTTCTTCTGGCCAAAAACCTAGACTCTAGATGGAAATGTCTGCTGGGTGCCCCTTTCACTCCCCAATGAGAATGGAAGATACATAGATTTTAATCTTTGGAGCCCATCCTTGTCTCTTTTCATGTTTAAAGAAACAACTCACAACTCTAAGCCTTTTGTATAGCGGAAGCTCTAGGAATTAGAGTTAAGTACCTGAGTCATAGAGAAATTAGGCACCTTTATCCAGGTTCCCCAGAAGTTTAAAGTAAAACCTTGCCTTGGTCTGATTTGAACAATCAATCAATTATTTGCCAAACACTTAAGAAGTACCTACAAAAAATCAGTCACTGTATCAGGTACAGAGAAGACATAATCCAACCCTTGTGTTGTTCAGACCAGTTGGTGAAAAAGTCAAGCACACAAATGATGAGAGGATAACTAACAATTCCAGAGCAGAAATGTATAAAATGTTTTTCCCTCTCAATGTATTCACCGTCATGGGCTCAGTGTAAGCTCCACAAGGGCAACGGCTTTGTTTCCATTTTCTTCAGTACTTACAACCAGTGCCTAGTAGTACTCAATAAAGATAAGGCTATGATCTGCGTGACCTCTTCTCAATGTGACTCCTGTTGTTCAGACTTCTAGTGGCCACCGTGTGTAGTTCTCCTCTCCTTCCAGACGCAGAGCAGGATTATACTCCCCGCCTGACTCCCTGCAGTTAGGTATGACCTTGTGACTAGTTTTGGCCAGTAGGCTAAAGGCAGACTTGACATGGATTACTTCTGAGCCAACACAAAAAGGGCCCGCTTTCTTTCCCTGCTGCAGAGACTGAATAAAGGCTTTATAAGTTCCAGATCAGTGGCAGGCCAAATCCAGCCCACTGCCTATTACTGGAGATAGAGTTTTACTGGAGCAGAGCTATGTGCATATGTTTACACATTGTCTCTATCCAAAAGAAGAGTTGAGAAGTTGGGACAGAGAATGTATGACCTGCAAAGCCTAAAATCTTTATAATCTAGATCTTAAAAAATGCTTGCTGACTCCTTGACTAGATAGTTGTGACAGATTGTTACACAATCAATGAGTTGCACATCCCAGTATCCATGCCCTTGTTACTTCCCATACTGACATGGAGCTTGGCTATGCGACTTTCTTCAGCTAGCATGACATCAGCAGACATGAAGCTTGATAAAGCTTGCTAACTGGGTTTGCTCTTCTGCCACCAAGTGAGGAAGCCTGGTGTAGCCTTCTTAAGGGGGAAAGACCACATGGTGAGGAAGATGCCCAGAATTCCCAGCGAACCCATCCTTCAGCCAACTCTCCAGCTGAATGCAGCTGCATGAATGATCCCAATCTCACCCTGCAGAAAAGTCACCCAGCCAACTCCTCAGAATCATGAGAAGTTGTTAGTCATTGTTTTTTAAGTCAATAGGTTTTGGCATGCTTTGTTACAGTGGGGCAGATTCAACATGATGGAATCTCTATTACCTGGGTCCCTGAGTGGTCCTGGGGAACAGAGCCCCTGATGACAAACACTGAGCATGTAGCATGAACAAGAAGGTAATTCTAAGATTACAACAGGCAGTATAACTCAGCTTATACTACGAATACAGATATTCATGATGGGAGTAGGGTTCTACCAAAAATCTAAAACAAGTAACTGGCTTAATGGTCAGGGAGTAGAAATTGGTATAGAAAGCTACAAAAATGGCCATTCATGTTTTGAAATGGCAAGACATTTGGTAAAACTGTTGCCTGAGACTACTTGGGGGGTAGATCATAAACCTCACAAATCTGTAGCTCTAGAAGATGAGGTTTGAAAACAAAATATGTGTTGGCTGCTGTTGCCTGTCTGGAACACTACTGATGTTTTGTATTATGAGGAAGAGATGACCTCAGGAAAGAACTGGCCACATTGCAAATAAAAATGAAGAGAATGGAGAGATTCTAGAAATGTAGAGCCTTGCAAAGTTAGACATATTTTTAAACCTGCTATGGTCTGAATGTGTGTTCCTTAAGATTCATATGTTAAAGTTATAACACCCAAGTGATGATATTAGGAGGTGGGGCCTTTGGGAGGTGGCTAAAGACCTTACAAAGAGGCCTGAGAAAGCCCCTCACCTCTTCCGCCATGTGAGGGTACAGTGAAAAGGCCATCTGTGAAACAGGAAGAAGGCTCTCACCAGATACCAAATCTGCTAATATCTTGATCTTGGACTTCCTAGACTCCAGAACTGTAAGAATAAATTTTGGTTGTTTATAACCTACACGGTCTAAGGTATTTTGTTACAGCAGCCTGAACAAGGTAAGATAACATCCCAAGAAGCAGAGCTTAAATTAGAAAGCCTTTGAACATAAGACAAAGACTGACTACAGGCATCACATTCACTGTTAACATTTCTTAGTTTCCTATAGAAGTTCTCTTAAATCCAGAGAGAAGGAAGAAAGATAGTAAAGAGATATGTTTCATAAAGAACCATGAATGTGGTTACTGGCATTATACAATTCTCAGGAATCAAATAGGTAAAAAAATCTACTGGGTTTTGGAAACATTACCATTCTCCAATATACTTATTATTGTTTTTTGAGTCAGGGTCTCGCTCTGTTGTCCAAGGTAGAGTGCAGTGACATGATCATGACTCACTGTAGCCTTGATTTCCTGGGCTCAGGTGATCCTTCTGCCTCAGCCTTCCAAATAGCTGGGACTATAGGCATGCACCACCACACCCAGCTAGTTTTTTTTTTGAGTTGGAGTCCCACACTGTCGCCCAGGCTGGAGTG